TAAAGTCTTTATCCATGATCTGGATGTGGGGATCAAGTGCACCCTGTGTCAGTGTGCAGTTGGCACTAAGTTGGGTAGCAGTGTTGATCTGCTGGAAGGTAGGAAGGCTCTGCAGAGGGATCTGGACAGGCTGGATTGATGGGCTGAGGCCAGCTGGATGAGGTTCAGTAAGGCAAAGAGCTGTGTCCTGCCCTTGAGTTGTAACAGCCCCCTGCAGTGCTATAGGCTGGGGGCAGACAGGCTGGAAAACTACGCAGCAGAAAAGGACCAGGGTGTGCTGGTTGACATCAGCTGAAAATGAGCCAACTGTGCCCAGGTGGCCAAGAAGGGCAATGGCATCCTGGCCGGTGTCCACAGTAGTGTGGCCAGCAGGACCACGGCAGGGATTGTCCCCCTGTACTGGACACTGGTGACACCACACCTTGAATCCTGCATTCAGATGTGAGCCCCTCAATTCAAGAAGGACATTGAGGCACTGGAGCATACCCAGAGAAGGGCAGTGGAGCTGGTGAAGGGTTTGGAGCACAAGTCCTGTGAGGAAGAGCTGAGGGAGCTGGGCAGATTTAGCCTGGAGAACATTTTTCTCATGGGGGGACCTGATCGCTATACAACTACATGAAAGGAGGTTGTTGTAGAATGGGGGTCAGTCTCCACTCTAAGATAAGAAGTGGCAGGATAAGAGGAAATGGCCTCTGCTTGGGCAGGGGAGGTTTAGATCTGGTGTGAGGGAAAATTCCTTCAAGGAACAGGTTGTCAAGCATTGGAACAAGCTGTCCAGGGAAGTAGTTGAGTCACCATCCCTGGAGGTATTTAAAAGACATAGACATGGCATTTAGGGACTTGCTGGTAAGTGTTGGTCTTAAAGACCTTTTCCCACCTAAATAATTCTACAATTCTAAGAAAGAGTTGTCACATACCAAGTAGACAGGAATGTACACTAAACACTGATATTTAGAAGAAGAAGGTTAGGACTTGCAAATTTGGAAAATGTAGAACTGACATTTCCACTTTAAAGTAGATTATGTGTTTATGATAGTATTTAATTACCTAGTCAGAATTGCTGCAGGGTTTTGCTTCTTTTTCCCATGCAGCCTTCTCCCTGATGCACAAGGATCAACATAGAAGGAGGGCAATATCTGACTGACAGAAAACAAAAACCTATCAATTTTGAAATTTGCCTGGTGTTATAATTTGCAACTACATTTCTTACACTTCTTCTCTTTCTTCTTCTTTTTTTTCTATTTGTCTTGGTCGTCTCTTTCCTTGATGTTTTCCAAAATATGATTTATAGATAACTGGTGTCTCATAAAGCTCTGGTAGTGAACAGCAGAAACTTCCTGAACAGGGAGAATACATGCGCTTCTGGTGATATGAATTGTACTGTGTGCAGGCAGTTCTTGTGGCTGGTTTGTACCTAGAGTGTTTTATGAGGAAATTGTGGCATTTGCCAGTGACTCTGTTGGTCTGGGGGTTTGTGTAAGAGGACTCAGATGCCGCCTGTCTCAGGTCTGTCACAGGTGAGCATCCTGGTGCTCCATGGCACTGCCAGTTGGAGCTTGCCCTGGGAGAGGGACTGGCAGAGGGCAGGGTAAATGAGGAACCTTGCTTCTCCTGAATTTTCAGTGTTTTTTTTACTATAGCATATTTGTATTTAGTTTTTTTAAGCTTGTAGAAAACAGTACTGCAATTTACTGTGTATTGTAATTGTAAATATGGTTGCTTTTTTATAAGCCACCTTCCCCTGTACTCTTGAGAGAACTTATCCAAGCCTAATTACCTAATAACTGTATCTTTCTAGAATGTGTATTTTCTGGATCTACTGATTTATATATATATATATATATATATATATATATATATATATAGAGAGAGAGAGAGAGATTTTGAAATCAGCATCTAATATTGTGTCTGTCATTAGTGGATGTATTTATTCTTTGTATTACTTTTTCCTGTTACTTATTTTTAAAAGCATTTCTTGTTCCTGCTAAGTTTTTATAATGTCATTAACTTGCCCTGCCCTTTTTTTCCTTTCTGCCTGTTTCTTTTCCTTTTGCTCTGTTGATTTCTTCATTTCTCATCCAGCTTTGTCTTAACCTCCAATCCTTTGACAAGTGTCTCAGGAAATTGTATTGACCGCTTCCTTTCATTTGTATTTTTCAAAGGAACTGTTCTTGCACATTGTTTCTAATCTTTCAAGGACTAGTCTGCTCTTTTACTGAAGAGAAGTTCACTGTTTGCTCCCACTAAATTATGTTCCCAGTTTTCTGGGGAAAAAAGTCAGTATTTTATTTTTCACATCAAATGGGTTATATATGGGTTATATATGTAGACTTAGCCACAAGTCTGCACTTAGTAGTTAAATATTAGTTGGAACTATAAATGTGTTTTCAACTAGCTTTCTAACTGAAGTGCTCTCATCTTTAGACCTATGTGGTAGTATTTTTAATTAAAATTAGTAAACTGCCTTGCAGTGTAAATTATAGACACTGTCATGAATTTCTGCATACACATTTTCACTGATGATCCAGGAGTCATTTAACCTATTGGGCTTCCCTTTCATCTAATTTATCCTTTGCATAGCTTGAGATTACTATGATAGATGGATTTGTCACTCATGAGATACCGGGGGAGTTTTAAGCTCACAGGAAGTATCCTTCAGTCTTGAGGTTCAGAGGTCCCTCTGTCCTTCTTTTTTTTAAACTCTTGTAACTTTACATTATCTTTCAGATAGTTCAGTCGGAACTTCTGGATCTTTGTTGGATGTATTTTGTCGTATAATACCTGTAGTCAATATTTGTTCCCTTTCAAGCTCCACTGCATGGATGTAACTCTTACTGTTGACTTCTCTTTGATACACAGTGTGGGAGTGTTAACTGGCTGGTGCTTCATATGGAGCATCACCTCTGTGTTGTTGTGCATGTGTTTGCACACTTCTTGAAACTTTATACAGGTTTTTAAGTACGTTTGATAACCTTGTTCTGTTCGTACATATGTGAATACTTGTGGTAGTAATGAAAAGTGGAAATTCTTTTAGAATTAATCCCAGTTAATAACCTCTAACAAGCCTCACTGAATAAGGGAGTGAGTTTCTTCGTAGTTCTTCGCAATGTATATTATAAAACATGATTGTATCTGCTATTTTAAAAAAGAAAAGCTTAATCTTTCAAGTCTCGTTCCTTTGTCTACTTGGTTTTTAGCTAATGTGTTCTTTTGATAACCTTTTTATCATTTCATGGGACTCTGTAAAGCAGTTCAGGCAAAGCAGGTTAATAGAAGAATATAGACTCTAAAATGTTCTAAAAGATGTGGATTTTGGTCCCAGTGGAGACTGACACTCTAGCCTACTTACTGGAATGTAGCTGGAATGTATTGATTTTCTTTTCCCCCATTTTAGCTGCACCACTGAATTAGGTATTGTGAAGCATCTTTCCCTGTGAAGAGAGGAAAAACTGTCATGAACTTTTTCACCCTAACAGTACAGCTTTTCAAACTAAACCCGATTGAATAGAAAAGTCTGTAAAAACCCTGTAACTCAGCTCCCACTCTCTTTTCTCCCTTTCTAACAGTTCTTTCAGCAACCTCAAGAAAGTGTGATAGATTACTGTAAGAAATTGATTTTTAAATCTTTCTTCATTAAAACCAGCAACAACAACAACAATAATAATAATAGTAATAATAATAATAGAAAATGATGCATTTCTGTGGCATGATCTCTGAAGGTTAGCGAAGTGATCTTGTTCAGATTTTCAGCAAGATGTTCAGTTACTGTTATAATTGGCTGATGAGTAGGTTTAGGCCTAACTAGAATGCCAGTGTTCGATTTCACAGTGTCCTCTGTGAAGATATGTCACCATTTACCCTGGCTTTAGTGACAATTTTCTAAAAAGGAAACTCATGGGAAATCATTATGCTGTTTATATGTCTCCCTTGTTGGAGAGCATTATCCTGTGATATTTTAGCACTGTTTTCCACTGCATGATGGCATCTAGCTAAGGTTAAGACAGAACAAGTCCCTTTGCAATTTTGTGACTATATTTTACTTACTGAAGGAGAAAAGATAACCGACAATTAAGTATTTCAGATGTCACTGAAAGAACATGTGCAACTAATCAATGACATCCTTAGGGAACATGATTTTATGAAACTGATAAGGTAGAAAAATTGAGGATTTTATGATTTGTCTTACATAATAATAATTGCACCCTTCCAATGAAAAAGACATTTCTACTGATGTAAACATCAGACTTTCCCTTGTGTTGTGTTATGTTGTGGGTTTTTCTCCTGAAGCACCGAGTAGTTCATTAAAGTGTGACAGTAACAGATAAATACCCTTTACAATTTTCTAAGAAAATATGGCACTTTAAGTTCAGCTGAAATCAATGAGTTGAAAAAGGTATTTCTGGAGTCACTTCCCAAATCACTTGCTAGAGGTTGTATTAGGTTTAGTTTTGGGGGAAGGGGGAGTTTTATTTAGTTTAGGAAGGAAATACACATCCTGGGGATTTTTTCTTAAATTAGCTTACTTCGTACTCTGGAGCCCATATTTGAAATTCATTGCTATGGTCTTGATAGAAATTGGATGCAACAAAAATTCACATTACAAAGAACTAAATATGAGTGTTTATTTCTCTGAAAATATTTATCTTTCAGTTTCTGACAGCAGAGCAAACAAGATAGCTAGTCATGCTTACAAGCCAATATCATATATTCACTTGAACAAATCCTGCAGTTGAGCATATTACATCACAAATTATAGGTCGTGGTTGAGAAACTTTATCTGCTGGTCCCTTTTCTGCACACCTATCATGTAAAGATAGTCAGATTTGCAAAATATAGATTTCTTACAAGTTTTCAAACAGAAATAAAAAATCTGTTGTGTGATGGATTGTTCCAGGTAAATTAAGCCAATTATAATAACATTTCTGATTTAAGAGTAATTTTTTTAACTTAAATAGGAAGCTGAGAATGCTTACTTTTTTCTTTTTTTTTTTTTTTTCTAGATCCACACACCTAATACATTGTGGCTGGTTGGTGCTTGGTTTTGTGTTGGTATTGGTTGGTTGGTCAGTTTGGGGTTTGTGTGGTTTTTTGTTGGTTTCTCTTTGTTTTGGTTTAGTTTTGTTGTTGTTGTTGTTGTTATCAGGGGTTTTTTCCCCTTTCTTTTTCCTCCTTTCCTTTGGTTTCCACTGTGTATTTTAAATAGCAAGATTATATCCTCACCCCTTTTTGAATCAAAGCCAGTGAAGTCAAGCCAGAAGATAATTTGCCTCCTATTAGTATAATTAACTTGTAAACTTCATATCTTTATTTTTAATGCTTAAAAATCCATGTCACCTTACATTACATCAGTTGCAAAATCCTCCTTTGGTCAATGCAGTCATTCGTTCATTCATAAAATTCTGGAAATGACAAAATACCCAATCAGCAGAGGTGGTGTATAAATACAGTGCAGTGCAAAATTGCCTTTGCTACTCTGCGAATTCTACATTTTCAAGTTTAGTGATCACCAAAGCAGTGTTATTGACCGCTAAAAAACTGTATGGTATTACACACTGAAATGGATACTATTTGCTTACATCTTTTTGTGAAAGTTATTTGGTCAGGCCAGGATTAGCAGGGCTTGGCTTGACTTGATACATGTTGTGGGGAAAAAAAAACAAAACAAAACAAAATAGAATGAGATATTAATCTCAAGTGAGTGGAAGTAGAAGCAAATAGGCTTGTAAGACCTGTCAGTAGTTTTCCTTTTATAACATGGTGTATCCTTCTGTTCTTCCCTGCTCCATTCAGCAGCTTCAGCAGGCAGCTCAGCTTTTAGAAAAAGCTGTCAAGAGTTGTATGTATGAAGTTGCACACAAGCACCAGATGCCCTTAAACATATTTCTACAACTTTTTGCAGATCCTCATCGCATATAATTTAGCAAGATGGTTTTATTTGAGCCAGTTATACACATTTCTATGCAATTCACACACTCTCTGAATATGCATCCACCTCCACACCTTCTTTTGTGCATAACCTGAATGCAGAATGGGATAAATTTTTCAGCAGCAGAGTGCTGATTTTGCAGAATGCAAACAGAGGGGCATTTTTTAATGCAGCATGATCATATAGAGGTGAACTGAAAGGCTTAACACTTACCAACATCTTAGACCTCCTTGTTTGTTACATCCCTTAAAATCTAGAACAGAAAAGTTCAAAAGCTGCATTTTTCCCTGATCTTTTTTTCAAACATTTTCGTGATGGCCTCACTGTTAAGCTGTTAAGAAAGTATAGCTATAGCCTCTGAATTCACATTTGCAAATGTAACATAAAAAAAGATCCAGTTCTCAAATACCTTGGTTTTTAAATGCTTTTAAGACCATTCACATCTTATGTAATTTTAATATTAAACACAATAACCAAACATTACACAAATAACCAAACCATTTGCTGTAAAACCTGCTATAAAATCTAGATGACTTCTAGATGTCTCTTCCAACCTTTCTTTTATTTGTGATTCTGGTATCTTCTATGTACCAGTGTCTCCCTTGTGATATTGTAATGTAAAAGAATACACACACAGGAATAAGTTACCTTCTGAATGTAAGAGTAACATGTCTTTCCAGACTTGTTTCTTCTCTATATTTATTTCTTCTATCATAGGGTGGGAAAGTGAACAGGAGGAACATGGAAAGCTTTGCTTCTAGGCGTCAATTTAATTTTAAATCCAGTGAAGTTTCTTCCATGCATACATTCACTTCAGATCAGGCCTTTTTGACGGAAATCTTTTTAAGAAAGCTTATGGCTTCATTTTTCTTGTGAAGTACACGTTTTCAGAATGCATGTCAGAATGAGCAGTAAGATAAAGCAGGGGCATTATCTTTCAGGTGAGACATTGGTTGAATTTATGAACTGTTTTTCTTTGCCTTGTGAAACTACAGATCATCTCATCAAGGGAAAAAAGAGAGGATGTAGTCTGGCCAATATGTGGCCGTTGTATCACAGCTGTGGAAGAATGTGGCAAGTCTGGCCAGCAGCTGCATGGTCAGAGCTTTGTCATTCAGAGCCGTAGTGCAGATGCATGGAGTATATTGTAAGCTGACCTGTCAAGCCAAGCAAGGAGTTTCCCTTGTTGTCTTTTACCAAGACGTGCATTAATAACACTGCACAAAGTGAAGACTTCTTCTGCTCATAAGCCAGATGGTAGTCTTCTATGAGGTGAACATGAAAACACTACGCTGAGGCTGCTTTATTTTATATTTTAAATAAACAGAATTTTATTCACAAATGAGCATGCCAGTAACTTAGTTCCAGAATCAGACATTTCTGCTTGAGAAGAATAAGGTTGGCACCAGTGATGGCAGGTGAAAAAGAATGTGGTAGCATAAGTGAATGTATTTCTAAGTGATTCATCAAGAACTGTGGTTTTCCTATTAAAAGAGGCATTCCAAAATAGGTGTAAAAAATGGATAACTGAAAAGTAGTGCAATAGAGAAATGTTTTAGTAGCTTGAATGGAACTGTGCAATATCTAAAATATTTTTTTAAACTTGGGTTTCTATTGTGCCTTTTTTCTACAGACAGTCATTTTAGAAAATGAAGAGCTCCCTAAGATTTTTCTCGATTTTCTGAATGTTCGTCATGTACCTACTTTGCCAAAAGCAGAAAGCTGTGGGTAAGCTCTCTTTTACTGAAAAATATATGGAGGCCAAAGGGCCCATATCCACTCAGTGCTGATGCAATTCCATTGACTTAAAATGGTCTTGCTGCCAACTCTAACACTGTAAAATAAATGGACATTAGGTTCATGTTAAGTATGTTTATATATCCCCAAAAGGTTGTAAAATAAATCCAGCATGTTCAACAACAGAAGGGAAGTTTAATGTAATATTCTTGGAAAGCAAAGGAGAGCTTAGATGAGAAAAATATTACTTTCTTGTAGATCATGAAGTATCTACTGAAATGTAAGATATTCAGAAGCACTCAGTAAAATTGCATAGAAAGCCTTTGCATGTGTTTTATGAGCATGTCTGCAAAAAATAGCGCATCATTCCATGATCGTTTTATGATCTCACTCTGTGTGTTCAAAAATTAGGTTCTTTCATCTTTCTGATGATATTACCTCAGTGACCCGATTGCCCGTCCCCTGGGAAGGGTTCCTGACCAGAGTGGCATAAGGGAATCTTGGTGTGATGAGTGTGACAGCTACAGAAATACCAAACCAGTGTAACTGGAAGCTCTGTTACCATCTGCAGCTGTGAGCTTTGTAGGCAGAATTTCTTCTGCTCTGTAAGATGACGTGGTTGGTAGTGCAGAAGCATTACCAGAACGTGCTCCCCAGAAAGCCACATGGCCCTTTTTCACTTTGGGGCAGCCTGTTTGGATCCACAGCAGTGAGAAGGCAAACTTACCTGAACATCATTTTGAAGCACTCTTGTCTTTGGAAGTCTCTATGGCACAGGGCAGTGTCCAGAGTGTCCAGAAGCTATTAGGCTTGTACTTTTCACTTGCAGTTAATGACGTCAGCCAATGGAACTACACCTCAGCACTTCACAGATAGATGAAAATTAATCTGCTGCAGTAAAATGGATGCTGTCATTTTCAAGTAGTGGTGGCTACCACTAATAAAATGATACAATCTCTCAAGTATATTTCCTTATGTGGCATTACGTGGCCACTGACCAGAAGATTGCTCCCTTTGGTGATTCTTAAAGGATTTTGGGGTTTTAATTGTAAAATTAATTTTGTTGTAACCAAAGCTTCCTGTCACTTTACTTGCAGCTCTTTTGATGAAACAGAATCTGAAGAATCAAGGTGAGCTTAATTTCTACTCTTTATAGGGCAGCTGATTAATAAACTACTTAAATTATTGCCGTTTATTTTTTCCTTGCAGTTAACAAATTAGAAGTAGTTTAGCATTAAAATTGTATTTGTTAAATATTTCCATCAGCTGTGCTATATCTATCCATTTTTAGTGTGGCTTGAACATCCTTATGCTAGTGTTGAGAAATTCCCTACAAAACTGACAGAACACTGCCAGCTCTGAAATATATCTGGGAATGTATTTTTTGTAGCAAGAAGATTTAGCAGAAGAAATTAGAGATCTGGGTTCTTCCCCATGCATTTGATAGAACTTCATCTGCATCTGGTTGCACTACTTGGAACGTATATTACAGAGCAGCATGGACAGGGCTGGGGGAGGCTGTCCATGTCGTGGCCAAGGGCGAGAGTCAGGCCTGGGGGGGCTTCCAAGGGCTTCTCTCCACTGTGATGGATACAGCAACTGCTTTGGGGGCTGTAAGAACATGGTGACATGTTGAGCTGGCTTGGTGGCCTGGAGAGCCTATGGAGCCTGGTTGTAGATGGTCTTATAGCTTGCATGACACCATGTGCCAGGGAGCAGAGCAGCATCAGGAGGTCTCAGAGCTGCAAGCCAGTCCTCCTGGATGCAGCCCCTTCACTCCAGCTTGACATGGAGGGTTTCACTGTATGGCTGAGGAGTGGCGAGCTTTGCTTCCCGGAGATGGAGCCTGCCCTTCTGGGCAGTGCTGGTGTGTGGAACCACTGCATGGCTCCTGGCAGCTCGACCACCTCACTTTATCAAAGGTAGTTTGTAGAACAGTCTGTTTGCTGTCCCTTGATACTGACATCTCTGTTCTTGACCTTTCCAGCAAACTGTCCCACCAGCCTGTGCTGCTGTTCCTAAGGGATCCATATGTCTTGCCTAAAGCCAACGGTAATCAAATCTGTCATCTGTTAACAGTACTGCATAAACCACATTATTATTATGAATACCAGCCTAGTCAAATGACACTGGTCCAAAATCTAATAACCTGCCAATAAAATGATATTCTTGTGTAAGAAACCATTAAAACACTAAGTGGAGTGGGTGACTTGTAAAAGGGTGGAATTTTCCCCCCAGTTGTTCTCTCAGGCAAACCTACTGAGAATTCAAATCAAAAGAACACGGCTTTTCTTGTTGTTGACCCTTTGGCTGTTTTGCCTGAAGGATTTGAACTTGGAGGCCCAGTCCTTTTTAAGTGCTTTTCCCCTAAACACCAGCTGATCTACTGCAAGCATGTTTGTATTTCCATTTGGATTCTTGGATTATTTTTTCTTATCATTAATAACCTCTGTAGCTTTTTATGGGGAAAAAAAGTGTACTTTAAGTGTAAGTGATGTATTTCACAGGACATTTACGTTAGACTTACGTGGTTCAAAAGAGCATTGGAAATTGTTACAAACGGCAATATAAAAAATTCTTTGAATTAATAATTCAGAGAATTTACCCTGTCTCAAATCCAATGTGTGCAGGGAAAAAAAGTACCATTTTCAGAGTGGGTTCCTCTTGGCTTTGTCATTTTACTTGTTTGAACTTGTTATTTCTAATAAATATTTTATATAAAAATGTAATATGCTTTCAGAAGAGCATTTTCTCCCTGAACTGCATATTAATTCTTTTTTTATGTGGCTTTTTTTTTTCATTTTACAAAATACTGTGTAGAAATCAGATTCTCACACTGCCTTAAAATCCATTAAATTTTTAAGAATGAATTTAGGAAAGAACAGTTCTGCTTTTCCTAGATAGTAGAGTGCACTTCCTTGATATTTTCTCAAGAAGTTTACAGATACTTGAGAGGAGGGCATAAGGAAGACCAAGCCAATCTCTTTTCAGTGCTGCCCAGTGACAGGACTAGAACATAAGGAACATTTTCCCAAGCTCACACACAAGTCGTCCAGAGCAGTATTGGGTACCCGCTCTTGCAGACACTCAGAAGCTGCCTGGCCATGGTCCTGGGCAACTGCCTGCAGGTGCTCCTTCTTGAACAGGGGTTGGGACCATATCACCTCCAGCAGCTGTTCTGTGGTTCTGCTGTTTTTTCAAGCTGTTTACCAAAACCACAGGGACAAGCTCATATATTTTGAGATGGTTAAGCAGTCTCTCTTGCCGGCAATGTCCATGCTAGCTAGTAGAGGGGCCAAACACTATTGAACCTGTGAAGTCTTACTGAACTCCAATGTGTACCTAGAGTGAAAGTCAGACAACAGAGGTTCAACGTGATTCAGGTCCACATCAGAAGACACATTACAAGGTTGTTTAGCTTTCACTTTGAGTTAGCACTAGTCTGATTTCACAGACTGAATGTTCATTTGAGGCTCAAGTGCAGATTACAAAATCGATGAACCAAAGCACAGTAAGGGGAGGGGGTCACTGCACAGGGTCACATCTGACCCAAGTGACAACAGTAATGAAGAATCACCCACAGAGTAACTTCTGTTTAAAATTTGGTCCAGATGCTGCCTATACTAATATTTCGAGTGAGCCACATTGCATGTCTTAATCTTAGTGTTTAATGCTCCTCCTAATTGTATACTTGATTCCTCAAGAGCCTGGTATAAATTACAAACATCATGTAACTCCATACCATTCTGAAGAGAGAAAATGAATTTCATATACAGTTATCCCAAAAAACTGAGATGGTGCTTAGTATTTCCAGCCCACATGTAACATTTTGCTATAAGACTTCAAGATTCTGCAGTTCTGTGATGGTATTTATCTCCCTTCCACATAATGTGTACTCTGAGTAAGGCTAAGGTTCCTTTGTGTGACATCATTACGAACTTCCCAATGAATTTTGTAACTGTTCTTTGAAGTAATGCAAAAAAGCATTAAGATAAAGTCCTCTTCTAATGAGTAACATGTTTAAATATTGATGTCATTAATGACATATGATATAAAGGACATTTCAGACTTTTGCTAAGGCATTTTCTGACCTTGATCCACAGTATTTAGAATTTATATGGCAGGTGAATATTCTTTGTATTTGAAAACCCTAAAACATCAAATTCACTGCAAGTTATTCTTTAACTAAATGAATTAAAACACAAACGAGAATGTGAGTTGTAGTTTAAAAAAGGAAGAAGAAAACCAAGTCCTGAGTCTAGAGCCTCTACTAGTTGACTCAAGTCTAGTTAGAAAGAAACAAAGTTTTTACAAAACTAACATTGCCGTTAATTCTTCTTTGTTTTTAGTTTGCAGCACAGAGAAAATATAGATGAGCTTTCTAAAATTTTCCCTCTCAGATCAGTTCTTACTTTGATAGACTCTGATTCCTTTGTAAAAACAGCCAAAGTTGTTCAACCTATGACCAGAAGTAAGTGTCCATTACAAATAACTATTTGTTGTATGTTTTCCTTGGAGAAGGTGAATTTCAGAAGTCTTTCCTGCATACAGGAATGCCTGTGTTAACATATTTCAATAAACAGGAAATAGTGTGAGTTTTAAACAAAATAAAAAACTATTTCTGGAATATAACTCAAAGAACATTTTTACCCTGTCATTGCACTGTGACCTGTCTTTATGAAATACAGTCTTGCCATTATTCTAGTGACTGGGCTTTAAGCATTGTTGAGTTGCAAGAGTTTTTCCAGAAATAAGATCCACAGTTACAAACCTCATTGATTTTCAGATTTCCTTTTTCAGGATGTATTTAACAGTCTGAGGGCCCAAGTGCACATTACTTTTTGTGTAAGGGTATAGGGAGAAAGAAAAAATTATTGTTCTCAAGAAAAATAAAGGAAAAACCTAATGTGCTTCAAATTGAGATGGTACTTTGGAAGCTAAAAAAGTGGGATCTTAGATTTACTGTCAGTTGTTTGAAAATTGTTCTGATGATTCTTTAAACCACGCAAGGGTCACAGATCTGCAAGACTGTGCTTTGTTGTGTTTATACTTAAGTTATACATATACTTTAGTTGTATTTAACTTAAACTGATATGCTTGGATTTTTTTAAGCAGAAAATGCTCACATTAAATCTAATGTTGTGAAGGTGTATAATTTTGAAAATAAATCCTTATTTTCCTATATATACTGTATGTTAGAGAAGAACCAATAAAAACTGGTTTCTGGAACTGCATCATTTAATCTACAAGGAAGGCATCAGATCACCTTTACAAGTGTATTTTGGTAACATTAATGACAACTGCATAGGGTTATTCTGCCATGGTGATTTGGGACAGATGATCTTACAGGATTTGAGGAAACACTAATAGATTCAAAATATTAGCAAGATATAATTTTAATAATATAGATAATAAAATATGATTATGACTTGCTATGAGAAGCTGGGTAGAATTATGCATATATTGTTTACAGTGGAGGTTACCATTCATAAAAAACATCCCAAAGTATCTATGTTCATAACATCTGTAATATTCTGAAATCACTTTATTAGTAACAATGAAATAACACATTTAAGACAACAAGGATTGCTTTTAGAGGGTCCAAATCTACCTTTGCTCAGTATTTTCCTTCCAAAATTATTTATGTGAAAGAATTAGGGGCAAACCCTAATTCCCACCCACACTAAGTGATCTAATTTATCAAGTACTAATGATTTTTTATAAAAGTTGCATCTCCCCTTTGTGAATATCTGTAGGCTGATAGTTGAAGGTTTGTTTTTTGTGGGAAGTTCTGCATCAGGAATCATTTGCTCTTAGCAGGAAATCCATTTCTAGTATACTAACAATTTTAAGGTTGTAAGATATGATCAGAAATTATTAGTTTTAATGCCTATTTAAATAGACCCTTTATTAAAACCTGACGTGTTGGTGCATTTCAAAAATCTTTTCAACTTAACAGTGTACATCCATGTACATGGATCTATTATTGTGTTCTATCAAGCAGTTCTTTCATGGCAAATGGAATGTGAAAATTAACTGGCAGTTTCCTCTGCATCTGTGACAAGAAAGTAGTGGGGATTTTTTCCTTCAAGTACTGTAGGATGACATTTTGTAACATGACATTTTATGTTGATTGGATAACCTGAAAATTTCTTGCCTCAAATAATCATTTTTGTACAGGCATCCTCAGGTCTTCTCAGTCTAAACACTGCTGTAAACTACAATACAAAAAACAGCTTTGAAGTATTCCCAGTAGTAATCTAGAAATTTCTTCAAGTATATTGAGATTTTGTTAGAAACTGAATTGCCAGTGTAATCCATCTTCCTTGTGAGAAAAGATTCAGATAAAGAGCTGGAGCCTAGCAGCCTTAAGTATTAGAACATCCCTTTAAATCAATAAGCTACAAATCTGGCAGCGCATTCATGCAATGCCCAGTGCTACCCTAAAGTGGCTTTAGTGCTGAAACAGCATTACTAATAGCACATCCTCAACATGGATAAACAGTTGAGTGATGCAGTAGCCCAAGGAAAATGAGGCCTTACCTAGTTAAGTTTCACAAAAACATTTATGTTGTACTGGCATGGACAAGAAAGTAAGTTTCATTCTTTTTTTTTTTTTTTCCTTTTTTTCCAGATGACTTTCCAAATGTAGTTATAGACGGCATTCTACATGGAATATTTTATCCTCACTTACTGCCCAGGTAGAAGTAATACAAGGCAAGAAGAAGCTGAAGTCATGGTTAATAGAATTAACAGGAATAAAATTCTGTGATGTGAAAATTATGCTCAGAAGCAAGAGGCACAACCTCAGATTAAGTTCAAGCATTATGTCTTTTTAAATAAAATCACTGTCATTACAGTTGCTGCTTTTAAAAAAAGATGTGGAAACAACAGTATTGAAGTTATTTATACTTTCTATATATTGACATGCTCTATTTAACACTAAATATTCTAAGTCATACACTGAATTATGCTAACCTTTGAAGAGAAAAGTTTTACTAATTATTTCTATAATTTATCTTAAAGCAAACACTAAACCATTTTGCACCAGGATTTTTCCCAGCACATTACCCATTTCTGGCACTGGATGGATTAAAAGTGCTGAAGAGAGTGTGTGCAGAATTGGAAACATGCTTTCTCATTCTGAAACAGATAGCACTCTCTGAGGAAATTTTCTAGATTTCACTTGAAACTATTTTATTTACCAGGAGCTTCTGTGTGGCTTTTGTATATCTCCATTCAGTTATGACATCTAACCTGTGTGTTTGTTTACTCTCCACACCAACTTGCTGACTGTATTCCATATATTAACATTTTATAAGTCACACAACATACAACTCTGTGGTAAACTAAAGCAAGAATATTATTAATATTATGATCAAACTAAAACTGATACATATGTATGTATGCTCAGATTTAACTGGAAATTTGTATGTGTGCTACTGGACATTACAAAATAAATTACTAGGACATGAATGTACCACTTCAGTGGGTTTTTTTGGTGATATTTTTCTATTGAAATTTTTCTGAGATTCTGTCCTCTGAGATGGGTCTCACAGATGTGTGTCTCCCCATGAAGTGTGAGAAAATACCTGTGTGCTCATTTAAAGCTCTTAGGTCTCAGCTTAGCTGAACTTGGTAGCCTTACAGAACTACATGTCTTGGTGAAAAAAATTAAGGTTAATCGAACACAGAGTAAGTCACTGGGCTTATCAGCAGAAGGGGGTGTTACACAAAAGCAGCAACGGCAAAGCTGGGCACAAACGTAAGTCAGATCCTGGAGACACACGGGTTGCCTGCTCTAACTACTAAATGTGTTTGGAAGCCATTTGGGGAGAGTGGAAAGCTGGGACTTGGAAGAAAGTTAGGCCTGTGACTGCAGCACTTGTTCAGGTTATGAGGTCTATAGCCACCAGGAGTGCTTTCAGCTACTGGCAGACTGAGGCATTCTCACTCCTGCTTGCTAACCCTGCTCCCAGAGCTGCTTTTCAGAGAATTTTAATTAAACCAGCTAGTAGAAAGAAAAGTCATCGGGGTAAAATGGAAATCTGATTGCCTAGCACTAGACAAACTTAGAGACCCTTGCCAAGTTCTCCTCCAGTTCTGTTTGCAGAGTACAGTCATCCTTTCACAGGTCTCTGAAAAGAAGAGTCAGTATTTACCTTCAGGAGAGGCCCCAGGGCTGTGGTTGAAGAACCAGCAGGAGCATCCTCTAACTGCAAATGGTATCTCAGAAGAACCTAGGGTAAATCCCTGCCCACAGTTTTTTCCTGTTTCCTTGTGAGTGGAATGCCAGTAGGTACCTACCTACAAGTTCGGAATGCCAGTATGTACCTACAAGCTCTGTGCTGTAGCAGCCTCTTCTACCCTGAATCACTTTGGCTCAGGATACCTCAGAGCTCCTTCAGGACACCCTTCAGGAAACAAGTCACTGCAAAGGAGTCACCAGTGTGCTGCCTGCCCGTGTTACAGGTGGATGAGCCCTTCATCACATCTTGGCACTGCCTCTTCCGTCTTGAGTCCTAAAACAGTCAACTCAAAACGAAAAAAATCCACATATCTGCCCTGAACTTAACACAGGTGTCTCTTAAGTGTTACCCTACAGTGACCTCCTCTGAAAGCTACCAGTTGTCAGCTTAAAGAGTTATTTATGAAGCATCACAAAAAAATGAACCTAAAGTTCTCAAACTTACAGTAAAATGTAAAGAAAAAGCGTTTGAGCTTTAAAATAAGTAGCATTAGTTAAGTGTTACAAAATTCACCATGCTGTAAAACAAGAATTCTTCTGTTTTAATCAGCTCCTAACAGACTACCTTATTCAATAAGACAGAAAAGCTGCTTGTTCTTGATCACAGAATGGTATCTGAATACTGTGGTTCTCTGAAAGACAGGGACTTTATCTGACATGTTTAGATTAGGAAAATTTACCATCTCTGCTCTAACCTTACAACCTTATCTCCTGAAAAGCAAAAGCCCCTGAATATTTTGTGGAATCAGTTGAGGTGAGAAAAAAGACCTTGGGGGGTAGAGTAAAAAATGCTCTCAAGTATTTATCTGAAAGCAAAGTTTATTTATTCAAAACACTTCTATATTTTCCTTTTTTTTTTTTTTTAAGTTTTTAGAAATGCTGGTAGTGTTACAGTAAATATTTTCAGTTGAAAAGACAAAAACAAACATTGCTAAGATTTCCAAACAGAACAAAATTACTATATTTTAAACCCTGTCAAAATAGAATTACTGCTGTATTTTTTCATTAAAGGCTTTTTCTACAAGATCTAGAATTTGGTGGGATATGTCTTGAATTTCAAAGAGTGGCAACTCCAACAAGTTGTTACAGTTGTCATATCCCTTCTGTATTTGGCAAATGATAAGTATTGCCTATACGTAACTTCATATGTTTTGAGGAGAAAACTCAGTGGATCATTGAGATTGGTCAAAAACTGGCATTAAAGAAAAGTGACTAAGTTTTACTTTTCATTCTGACTATTGGTCTCACCAGTCACCAACTTCAACTACAAATGGTTCCTTTACAGCTATTTTGCCACTGTTCACAATCACACAGTCTTGAAGGGGCCGATCATGTTCATCTGTCTGCTGGAGTTCTATCGAGTGCACCACAGACTGTCAAACAAAAAAAGAACAAACAGAAAGGTTCAGTTTAGCCAAAGAAACTCCAGTGGCTGAAGTCTAGTGCCACGGAAAGAAAAGAGTGCACCTAACATCACTGCTTATTAACCAGCTTGTGAACAAAGACCTTTACCCTGTCAACTTCCCACATCCTTTTCTTTCCACATTAGCAGTTGTGCCACTCTGTAAATCAAACACAGTTGACAGAAGCACAGGGAAGACTGTTTGCCCTCCTAGAAAATCCTTCAGCCAACAGAAACATTTTGAAGGGGCAACTGAAAATGTACATTCAGCTGATTAAGCGGGCACATACAGGATTCTATCTGTGGCCTGTAACCAGAAAGTGAATCCAGAAATCACAAAAGGAAAGCATTATTATTTTTCTAACTGTACAGCATAACTGTGCTTCCAGTAATCTTGTTACTGCTTTTACCTTTAGCATATAACACACACATACAGATTTTTAGTGTGGTACCAGTATTTTTAAAGGACAAAATTAATTTAGGTATATATATTGACAACTTGTTTTTTTGATATCTGTCCATTAATCTGACTAAACTGAAACTTAAGTCTAAATAGCTTCTCAAAAACTTACAGCTACTACTGTAGATCATGAAAATGGAATTCAGTACGAATGTGGGAGTGAGAGGCCAGTATTCTGATGAAGTTTTCAAACTCCTCAAAGTCCATCCAGCAGTTCATGTTTTCCCCAATAATTTCAAAACACAGATTAAAAAGGAATAATTTGTAAGGAGAACCAGACTAATAAAAATATGATCACTTGAAAACATAATTTTTTAGCTTAAAATTCTATCTGGCCTCTCATCAGTATGTGTTTGCCGGCTTTGCATTCACATGCTTCTAAAAACCCTTAACAGTGAAAGTGTTACCCATAACTAGCATGCACTACAAAATTTGATTTTAGCCTGCAGAAAAAGAATTATTTTATGGGTAACAGTGTTACTGAAAGGAGGAGCTGAACCTTCTTCATTTGTAATTTGCAAAGGTGTCAATGTTGACTTCAGTGCTTAGCAGTCTGAAATAAGGGCTGTGAAAGCCAAAGGCATGGTTCAGGTTTCCATTTCTGCTATTTGCGTTCTAAATTGTCCAGCTGGAGCTCTTCACAATCATTTTCTACCATGTACATATCACATGGATACTCAGCTGTTTCTGAACCATGGTAACAGGGGTATAATGGAGAACAGTTTGTCCCGATCAACCACTACTTTAAACTTACCATTCCATCAAGGACTTTGCCAAATACTACATGTTTTCCATCTAACCAGGAAGGCTTTGTCACACTGATGAAGAACTGGGATCCATTGGTGTCTGGGCCAGAATTAGCCATGCTAACCCATCCAATTCCATAGTGTTTGAGCTTGAAGTTCTCATCAGGAAACCTTTCTCCATAGATGCTTCTTCCTATGACAAAAAAATAAGAAAGCAAACTTTAAAAAAATCAATCAAATGAAAGCTGCTTTTTGTTCAAAAATGGGAAAAATGAAGTATGAATTCAGGACTTGAAGATTCATTGTTTGAGTAAACACAGCACCATCATTGCTGATGGTTATCAGCAACTCCGTAACTAAAATCATTTTGTGTGTAAAGCTAAGCTAAACCACCACACAAAAGGAAAGAACAGTCAAAGCTGATGATGCTTTATCCCTTGAATTTAAGCTAGCTGAATACCTTCAAGGGTCTGGTTTACAGACACCACTGAACAACGGTATACTTCATCCTGATGAGCAAATTAAAGTACATACTTATGGCCACTAACAATAAGACTGCCATGTTTTGTGACAATTTCAGTATTTAAACCTTTCCCTTATGCTAAGAAATTGCTTTAGGCATGTTTAGAAACATATGAAGACCAAATGGAAGTTAGACTAAAACACTTGGTGTGTATGTGTACAGCCACGACATAATAAAGACTCTGACGTTTCTAAAATAGTTCAGAGAAAACACATCAGTCATGGTTAAACCACCATCACTCTGAAAAGAGAAGGCTGTCTGTCTCACCTTTACTTGTGCAGTGCCTAGCACAATGGGGACACTTTTCCCAACACCACCAGATGCTATCTCAATAAACAACATCAGCAAGCAAATAAATGCTGCCTACCTTTAATGCTAAAACTATGTCTTTGGTATTATGGTCTTCCCCATTGTTGACTGCTAGAAAAGGAATGTGTGTTTTCTATTCTATCCCAGCAGGGAAATCACTAACAGTTCATGCAGACAGTTCAAATCATAGCATGTCAAGAATGTGCATATAAAGGAAGAGAAGAAATCTGCAGCCAGAGTAAGTGCAGTGCAAGATATGCTGCGCTGGCACTGCCCCCCTGAGTGTACTGAACTGTTCTTCTGTAGGCTCAGGAGGGAGAAGTGATACACACAGACAGGACTCACAGCACCAGCAAGTTTATGGTTTCAATTTTAGTAAGAGAAAAACAGGGAGAGGGCATGACCCTCATCTTCTAATTTATTTCTCTCTCCCTGTTAAGAAATTCCTTCTCACAGCACATTTCAGAGGTTCCTGAGAACAGACTGAGCTGAGGGCAGAGAGGACAGCCTCCTCCTTCCCTACCTGCCTTCCCTCTATGCGCTTTCACTGTTTCATCACGGATTAGACTTCTGCTGGATGACTTGAATTGGTTCACCTATACATGCAATCAGTGAGTGCCTCAGGGAAGGAGCGCTGTCACAAAGCCAGAGCAGGGGAAGGGTGGAGACATCCATCTTTTGGAGACGGTAAGTTGTAGGAGCAGCTCAGCTGGTCACGTGGCTCCAGCCCAGCACGCAAAGCCATGCTTCTTGAATGGGGACAAGTCACAGACAGAAAAGAGCTATCT